TGATACACATTTGATAAGGGCTCCTTTTGCTAGGAGACTATCAACTTGCTTGGAGATGGCGATAGACTGTGCAGGTTTCAAGGGGTACTGAGGCCTCCGTGGCGGGGCAGCTCCTGGTAGAAGGGTAACCGCGACTGGTGGAACGCGTAGGCGGCCTATGTCATCCGGGCCCTTAGACCACAGTTTAGCAGGGATCCTGTCCAGTGCACTAGGGGCATCCGTGACCCTTGTTTCCCCTGTGGGAGATGTGAGGTGTAGCAGTAATGGTAGGGAACAGAGGACTGGGGTGTCTTTACGGGATAGGGGCGTGAGTAATTGGACCTGACCATCTGCAGTGAAGGTAATTGAGGCCTGAAGGCGGGACAGGACATCAGCACCCAAAAGGTTAATGGGACAGGTAGATGAGACAACAAATCGTGAAAGGATGTCAGAACCCACATGTAGGAGCTTAGTCAAGGGATTACTGCGGGGAGTACCGTCAACACCCACGCAGGATACATCGGTGTCAGACAGGAAGGATGGGACTGGCAGGTCTTGTTCTCTAAGAACACTGCGGGCTGCACCTGTGTCAACTAAGAAGGTAGTGGGATGTCCTTCAACAGGCAGGACAACTGTAGCGAGAGGCCCTCCCCCATCCCCTGTAGACACTGCCATGGCAGGGGTATCAGACACAGGCTTGCCAGTTACCTATTGTAATAAATCTAAATGAACCTGGTCGAGGCCAGTGTAGCGTCGTGAAGTAGTTGTAGGAAGACTTGTCGGAGGAGCAGAGTGAGCAGTACGGCCTTGCCTAGGTGTGGGGTGATCCTCCTGGAAATCATCAGAATCAAACCCGTCAGCAGGAGCTGGAGGGTAAGTGCGGGCATCTGGAGGTGGTGAATACTCAGGAGGCGGAAAGTGAGGAACTGGGGGAGCTGGTGGTTGAAAGTACCCATAAGTAGTGGTTGGGGGATTAGTGACCAACCTGATGACAATTATAACAGGTTCAGGCTGTTGGTGTGTATGATCCCGAGTAGGAATCGTGGCCTGTGGGGCTGTATAACCTTGGGGAGCATGGGTAGGCCCAGTGATAGGAACAGGGCGGTATACATGAGCGGGCTAGTTCTTCTCTGTACGGGCTGACACACTGACTCCAAACCTTTAGCCACTAACAAAAGGGTATCCAGAGGGATGATTCTATACTCAGGGCGAGAGAGAATTAAACCCTTGCGAATGTGTTCCTTCAGACCAGCCACGAAGGCTGCAGACAGCATCTGGGTGTGTGCTTTGTTGTAGATACTAAACCCTAGATCTGAGAAGGTTTGGGTTAGGCGTGAATGATATTTCTCAACTGACTCAAGACTGTCCTGAACAATATCATTTATGCAAGTGGCTTGGTCAGCCAGTTTATCTTGGGCCCAAGCACGGTGTTGTTCACAAAACGTAATACCAGACTGGAAATCCGTGTCAGTAGTGAGGGGAGCATCACTGAAACTCCTCGCCATTATGGGCCAATAGGCATCACCAGCTTTAATTTCACACAAACTATAAAGATCCCGCCAAGCAGCGGAGTATGTCTTGCGGATTTGAGCCATTCTACGGAAGAAAGGCATTGGCTGTTTCTCTGGATCAGGGAGGGAAGTGACCAGAGTGGCGGCTTGTGAGGGGTTGAACGTGACATACATGGGTGGAGCACCTTCGGCAACGTGCACGTGCACGCCTGAGGTGGGCTGTCTCTGTGAGAGTCTATTACCCTGAGGGAGTGGCGGGCCACGCTCTTCTGCGTCAACATCCCCAGGAGCAACGGGGCCCTGATAGGAAGCAACATCAAGGGAAACGGGGGCTGGAGCGGCCGGAGTGACAGGTGTTGGGAGACCAGTGACGACGTTATGGGGGTTCCTCAATTGTGATGTTATAGGATGGTAGCCTGAGGCTGCCTGAGAGATACCCATAGCATAGGGTTGGCCCAAAGCAGCAAACTCTTCAGAGCCGACCACCATGAGCGGGTAACTGGGACTTGCTACAGGGGTATACAGGACCAGGGCCATAGAGGAGGCAGGGGTAGGGGCAGACTGGGTCGGGCGTGACAGGTGAATGGTCAGGGCATGGGGAAGGGCAGATAACAAGTCGGAGGTACCAGGGGCCGAAGGGGTAAGGGAAGGTGGAGCGGGGGAAGTTGAAGCGGAGGGTTGGGACTTAGCGGCGGAGAGGGTGGAGAGTAATAATGACAGGTCGGTCGGTGAGACAGCGGGTGGAACATCTGGAGGTGCAGTAGGAGGGGCGGAGGTAGTGGGACGAGCTAAAGATGAGAGGACAGAGAGAAGTGACGACAGGTCAGCGGAAGAGGAGGGGAATCGGAAGATGTAGTGGGAGGACAGGGGGTGGTAGGATGGCCTAAGGCTGAGAGGGCGGAAAGGAGGGATGAGAGGTCAGTGGGAGGAGAAGAGGGAGGAGCAGAAGGAAGAGGAGGAGGGGAATGGGAATCGGAAGGTGTAGTGGGAGGAGTAGGGGTAGTAGGGGCGGGGGTGGTAGGATTGGATAAGGCTCAGAGGGCGGAGAGAAGAGATGAGACGTCAGTGGGAGGAGAAAGAGGATGAGAGTCGGAAGGGATATTAGGAGGAGTAGGAGTAGTCGGAGTGGGGGTAGTAGGATGAGCTAAGGCTGAAAGGGCTGAGAGAAGAGACGAAAGATCAGTGGGAGGAGAAGAAGGTGGAGGTGGAGGAAAAGGAGGAGGAGGATCGTAAGGTGTAGTAGGAGGAGTAGGAGTAATCGGAGTGGGGGCAGTCGGATGAGCTAAGGCTGAAAGGGCGGAGAGAAGAGACGAAAGATCAGTGGGAGGAGAAGAAGGTGGAGGTGGAGTAGGAGAAGGAGGAGGAGGATCGGAAGGTGTAGAAGGAGGAGTAGGAGTAGTAGAAGTGGAAGTTGTAGAATGAGCTAGGGCTGAGAGGGCAGAGAGAAGAGATATGAAATCAGTAGGAGAAGGTTTTGAAGAAGTAGGAGAAGGATCGGGGACGGAAGGGACATCAGAGAGTGCAGGAGGTAGAGTAGGTTCGAGAGCAACGGAAATAGTAGAGAGGAGGGAAGATAAAGATGAACAGGCAGGGGTGGTAGCAGTAGCAGGGGGGGAGGCGGAACAGGGGTGGCAGTGACATCAGGAAGGGGGGCTGGTGCTAACGGGGCGGGATCGGGGACAGGAGTGGCTGAAGAGGGAACAATAGGAACAGGTGGAGACAGTGGAAGGAGCAGGGGACAAGGAGATGGAGGGGCATCAGAGGGGGCTGGGAGAAGAGGTGATGACGGGGCCTGATCGGGGGCAGTGGGAAGCTGGAAGGACGGCTGGGATGTAGGCGTATGAGGAAAGGAATGTAACGGTACAGGGTAATAGTAGGCTCCATCCGCTCCGAGCACGGGACACAAGGGGGTGGGGACCTGACTTACCCCACAAGGAGGTGGTGTCTGGGCGTTAACAGGGGAAGCTGGGCGGGAATTAATCAACACGCTCTGGGCGCCATCATAGGGCGGTGGTCGGGAAACAGTGGGGGATACATCATCATTGCAGACATTTCGGTGATACACATAAATCGTTTGCCCCTCAAAGTCTAACTCTTCTTCTGTCCAACCCTCCCGTTTGAGACCTCTAGCAACCCGATACCAAGCCTCTACAGCTTTCGTCAACCCACTGTCCAGTAATAAACCCTCTTTGTCAACAAGCAGTTTCCTCCAAAATTCTGGCTGCAACCTACCACTAGGCGACATCTGGAAACCACATATCTTAGCTATTTTCTTAATTTTTAACATAGCTTCTTCTCCTGCTCTTTCTCTTACAGTGTCACAAGCCAAAAATCCCTTAGTGGGTCTAGCATGTTCCTGTCCCATCTTAATCAAACAAAGGGTGCCACGTGACAGGGGGAGGGAGAAGAAGAAAGAGCAAAGTCTACAGTGCTCGACTGCCACGTGGACCTGGGTCCCGTGCGTTTTCCCTAAACGTAGACCAGTCACAGAGGTCCGCCCACCCAAGATGGTGGTCAGGGACCGGAGCGGGCGAGCGTGGGTGACTAACACAGCTCTGGGCAACAGGCACAGGAAAGATAGAGAACAAAGGAAAAGATAAAGTGGCAACACTAAGCAAAAGGCATTTACAGAAATGACCCACATAGAGATGAGTGTAAACCCCAGAATCGAGGACCAGCCACACAACACACGCACACCGAGGGTACCCACACTGTAGCAACAATTGAACAAAATCCACAGAATAACAGAGAGTAATATGGCCATGTACATATTAAAACAGAGTGCACCAAAACAGCAAACAATAACCCGACCCTGCTAACCGGGTCGTACCCAGCCCCTTACCGGCTGTACTCTAATAACCCGACCCTATTACCCGGGTCGTACCCAGCCCCTTACTGGCTGTACTCTAATAACCTGACCCTATTACCCGGGTCGCATCCAGCCCCTTACCGGCTGTATGCGTTCCCTGCCTGCTAGGCAGTCAAGCTAAGATTTGAAAAAAGAAAACACATGCACTTGGACGCGGAGGCAGACCGTCACAAAACAGGAGAATATAGACAACGGCTGTATTTTGGAGGTGATCAGGCTCCGGTTGTCCCACTTTCCGGAGGTCCGCTCCAGTGAGTTGGTTTCCGGCCCTCCGAACCGGCAAATCCGGAGCCCCACGTTGGGCGCCAATTGAAGTGGAAATCAATCAATAAATTTATTATTTTGTGTATCTGCCCCTGGCCAAATTAAAGAAACAGTGCGTGCACGCTCCCTGAAGTAATTCACATCAGACACAAGTTTCAGGTTAATGAAGAACTTGGGGATTGTTTATTCAGAGGGGACGGCAAGTCCCTTTTAAAGCAAATTACATCATATGCATTGTCAGAGATAACATGAAATAAAACATCATTAATTGGTTAGGTGTTAAGCGGTTCTCTTAATGCTCTGCATACAAGGGGTGATGTCAGTGGCATCATGAGGGTCTCCCCCAGATTCCAGCGCCATCTTGTTACACGAGGTAGTTAGTCGATGTTAAAGGGGGGGGGCGGGGGGGAAGCTCCTAGCGGCCATTTTAATTAATCACGTATAAGTAGAATAATGCTGATTATAGTTAGATGAGTAAATAGACATTTTACTAGCTAAAAATTAGGTTAATATCTTATTTCCACAACAGTGATCCTAAGGGAATTGACTTTATTGGGATAGATAAAATTCAGGTTCACTGGAGAGGAGGTGATAGTAACCATATTTTGGGTTTAAGAGAAATGAGGTGGATGTTTGAATTGGATACATTAATACCACAGGGTTTAAATGTTGACTTTGAGATTAATCAGTATGTATAACAACAATGTTTATTTGCTTCCCCTCTTTTCCTTCTTATCACTAATTTATATTTTACACTTATTCTTTATTTTTTATTATTTTTTAGAAAATGCTAAAGGTGGAATTTATTTTCTTATTCTTTTTCACGATTAGATGTATCTCTCTTTTTAATATGTTTTTTTAATATATTATATAATGCAAATTGATTATTTTTTATCATGAATTTTAAGTTTTAATTTGGATTGATACGATAAATTTTGTGGATGTTGTTAAAAGTTATATACACAAGTGTTTAAGTCATGATATAGATTCATATAATATGTATAGGAAAGATGTTTGGCTTTAAAAAGCAATTAACAGGGTATTTCTGTTGAAACCTTTTTATAAAAAATGAAATCCAATGGGACGTAGGATGCCACTCTGTAGTGGTACGTCTGGACGTCCGTAATGGAAACATGTGACCTGAACCGATGACGCCGGAACGCAATGATGCAGATGCCTTCCCGACGTTAATAGGGAGGGAACAAAAGAACAATATAGAAAACGATTATCCATACATATGTAAAAGTCATAATAAAAGACATTTTGCCATTTTCTTAAATAAACATTGCCCCCATCCTGTATATATTTTATGTTCAGTTACTATTCTATACTATACAGTTTTAGGACAGATTAAGTATCAGATAATATAAGATCTCACTAGAATACATTGCATTATATAGGTGTAGGATAGATTATGTTTCTAAGTTGCTAATATATTTGATATATTTTATAAATTGATTTATACATAACTACCATATATATTATTTTAATTGTTATTATTATTACTATATTTAATAATAAGTGTAAACACTATAATGTCTTTTATTATGATTTTTACATATGTATGGATAATCGTTTTCTATATTGTTCTTTTGTTCCCTCCCTCTTGAGAGGGAAATAAAAGAGATAAGGGACTAATTGGATATACATAACTATCAAAGAACCGTGAAACGCACGGTGAAACGCATATACAGTAAGCAAAGAGGAACCGGAAGTGAAGTCATGCGTTCCACGGACGTCATGCGCTCCACAGGCAGGAAATAGAGAGCGGCTGAAAGAATATTCGACACGCAACTCTACCAATTAATGAACAGCAACAGCTGTACAGAGGGATAGAAAAAGATATTTAAGAAGCAGGAATCGAGCAAGCCACATTCAAGAGACTGAGGAAGCCGCGATTACGGTGAAATGCATTTCTCATTTGCATAAGGATTTTAAAGTCAGAGACTGGTAGTTATTTTTCTTTTATTGTTTTTATATTGTATTTAATAAATATATATACTTCTACCCAAAGGATTCCTGTAATACAAGAAGGGAGTATACTATACTAAGCCGTCTTACTGAACCAGTTTAAAGGCTCTCCTTTTGTGAGTATAACAGCTCTACTTATTTAATGTTATACATCAAACGGAACTTCACTGTATTTTATGCATCTATTTTTCCGAGATATCAAGGGAGCCTGCACATTCATTCATCCATTGAAAAGGGGAGGGGTCGCCCTATACAGACTCTAAAGTGCTTCATCCCAGAGCTAGGTTTTTATAGCTCTGAAATTTGTGAGTGTTCCCTTGTTACTTTATATATCACATTCATAAGTGTTTAACAGTTTGCACTATGTACACTTTATTTTTGTCTTAAAGGTACCACCACATATACAGCTTTGTACAAACGTTAAGTATTTAAGTGTATCACTGGGATTGCATGTGGTGTACCACAACTAAAAATAAGCGCTCCACTGTTTTCTTGTATATTTAAATCTGAATGCCTTGGATTTCAATATCACTTCGGATGAAGGCAATAGCCGAAACGCTTCAAGTGATTGGAATTACATTGTGGGACTTATTTATTTTATAGCTTCTGTTTTTAAATTTACTTCAAGATTTTTGGAGAATAAAGTTTTTTGTAACCCCCTGTTACTCTGCGTCCTGGCGGTATTATACATAAAGAAGCCAGAAGTTCCCAATAGGTCCTGCTATATATTCAAGGCATTCAGTCTGAGCCAGCTAATTAAGTGGCTCCCCTTATGTGAGTGAGACCAACACCTATGTACAATTATTTGTGTTTGACTATATTACCCTATGTCTTTCTTTTTTGGTTTTATTTCCTAGATTGATTGACTTCAGTGTGGGTAGTATCTCTTCTTTTATTTTGTGTGCTCTCACCATATTGTTATTTTTGTTATAAATATATTTATATGTAATACTGGAGTGCTGTACTACTAATTTAGATTACTGAGCCCCTTCTGAAATTAAGCACTTACTTGCACCCTCCCAGCTGGAAGGGTGCAAATTAGTACCAGTTAGTATCAATTTATCTTATCAAACAGCTCTTTTATAAAGTTATAAATAGGGGACATTCCATTAATACTGATCAACCACAACATTAAAACCACCTTTCCTAATATTGTGTAGGGCCTCCTCATGCTGCCAAAACAAATCGATAGACCTCTGAATGTGTCCTGTGGTATGTGGCATCAAGACACTAGCATCAGATCCTTGAAGTCCTACAAGTTGTGAGGTGGGTCCTCCATGGATGAGATCTGTAGTTCCAGCACATCCCACAGAAGTTCAATCGGATTGAGATCTGGGGAATTTGGAGGCCAAGACAACACCTTGAATGCTTCCTCAAACCATCCCTGAACAATTTTTGCAGTGTGGCAGGGTGCATTATCCTGCTGAAAGAGCCACTGCCATCAGGGAACACAATTGCCATTAAGAGGTGTACGTGGTCTGCAACAATTTCTAGGTAGACTGTACATGTCAAAGTAACATCCACATGAATGTCAGGACACAAGGTTTCCCAACAGAACATTGCTCAGAGCACTTCCCCAGATAATTAATGCATATGCACCCGCCTATCCACCTGATCTAAAATAAAACATGATTCTTCAGATCAGCCAACCATCTTCCATTGCTCCAAGGTCCAGTTTTAATGGCACAAATCCCCCAGGTGCTTTCAGCTGTGGACAGGGGTCATCATGGGCATTCTGGTCAGTCTGAGGCCACACTGCCCCATAGATAGCAAACTCTATGCACTGCGTGTTCTGACACCTTCCTTTCATGACCAGCATTAAGCTTTTCATCAATTTGAGCTACTGCGTGATCGGATCAGACCGGGTAGCCTTGGCTCCTCAAAAACTCTTAATGAGACTTCACTGGTTGTCCTTCCTTGCATCACTTTTGGTAGGTACTAACTACTGCCTTTTCGGGAACATGCCACAAGACGTGCTGTTTCGGAGATCTTCTGGCCCAGTTGTCTAAATATCACTATTTGGCCCCTGTCAGAGTCACTCAGATCTTTTCACTTGGCCATTTCTCCTGCTTCCAACAAATGAAATACAAGAGCTGACTATTCACTTGATGCCTATTATATCCCACCCCTTTGACAGGTGCCATTGTAACAATACAATCAATGTTATTCATTTCACCTGTCAGAGGTTTTAATGTTGTGGCTGATCAGTGTAAATCAAATGCTTTAGGGATGTGGAATGTTTCAAAAATAATATTAATAGTATAGTCACCAGAAAACACATGCATTTTGCTAGAGTTTATGTCTGCCCTTGAATGTTGATATCATTCAACTCTAAGATTATTATTTGACTGACCTTGTAAAGGGTGCAAATGCTAAAATCTGGCCCCTGAAGAATAAAATTGTGACCTTGAATTGAACAGTACATGTACCAAAGCTGAAAAAAACAACCAAGCCCTCTGACCAGTTATATTAATATTAGCAAATAATCTTACATACTTACTTATACTAATCAAATTTATAACATTCTGGGCAGCACATTTCAAGACCTTTCACCATGCCTATCCACTACAACTTTTCCTAACAATTTATTTCAAATAGCTTAAAGGGGAACTATCAATTTCAAAGATTTTTAATATTATGTTTACTTATCCTTACATTTAAAAAAAAAAAAAAATGCATACCTGATCACGTAACAAGTACATGGATTATGTCACTCTGGCTTATACCGGTACATAGATTGGTATATGGCTGGTTACTTTAGGACTGACTGTATGTGGTCCTCTGCACACATCTACAGTTTTATAATTTGCTAGTAAAGTATAAAAAAATACACACTGGACATCATTTTTTTTTTTAATAACAAAAACAAAATTCGTTTTTATACAATGGAAAATACTATTTATTTTTCTTAAAATAAAAGCCACAGATACACAAAACACGTAACAGAAGGATTCAACTTACTGAGTTAATAAAGGGTAAATGGTGGCAGGGAGGCATTAAAAGTTACCATGCAAACATAAATCTGAATTTTTCAGGAAGCTATGGGAAACTGAAAATTCCAGGAAAAAAAAAAAAGATTAAAGTAAAAAAAATAAAATAAAAAATGTTTTAGTAAAGAAAATAAAGTAGAAATAAGACCTATGTTACCAGTAAGTGTCAGCATGCACGGCTAAGCCTTAATAGGTAGAAACAAAAAACAACTGTCTTTAGTACCCTACATTTAACCCCTTACTGCTGGTGATATGGATAGGTTAATTGAATGATATTTGGCATTTCTGAAACGTGTCCCTTTTGAACAGAAATCCCCTTTAATAGTCCTATTAATTATGTTGACTACAAAAAGAAAATCATCATTAAAAAGATATAGAGGATCCTGTTTAGGATTGTGTATTTATCCAATTACTATGAATGACTAAAAGCATTCCTGCTTTATTAAGACATACACAAAAACATATTTAATAAACAATTATATCCAAAATATTTAGAGAAGGCCCGCTGAGATTAAACTGTTAAATAAAGTCTATTGTTCTTGTCGGAAAAAAACAAAAAACTTTTGCTCTCTCTGTCTCATAACCTCAGATAAAAAGTTAACATTCAAAAACATTCTATATTGTATACGGAGAACTGCATTTAAAAAGATATATATGTACATATTTATATCTGTGTCCTGAGTTTTTTTTTTCCTCATTCTTCCCCACCAGTATTTTTTTTTGTATATATGTTTTTTTTTTTAAATTTTATTATATTATTTCTATACAAGAAAAAAGGGTGAGAAATAGAACTTGGGAACTACAAATGAATTATAGTCTGTGACTAATTC